CCGCCAGCAACAGGGAATGAGAACGAGGTAACTTAAAAAAACCCATAACTTTACTCCTTACTATTGTTCTTCACCCCAATCAAAAGACACAGCGGAGAAGGGAGAGAATTCCATCTGACAACGTTAATGACCGATTGACCTATGACCATCAAGGAGAGAGGTAACCCCTCGCCCTCCAAATTAAACATTATTTTTCATGTGTTCGATGGAGTGTAAAACTTTTGTTTACTCTAAGTCACCCACTGACTATGATGCAAATAGAATACACATGATTGAAAATTCTTTCGTCTTTTTCCCACCCAAAGCAGTCAGAGGTGGAAAGTGAATGCGTCAGAAAGAGCCCTTTGTTCTTACGCAAAACAATAAACTCAATGCTCACCCCCAAGAGAGTGGTAGGAAAGGGAAAAGGGAAAGGAAAAAAATGTAAGCACACTAGTTTCATCCTAATTTGCATAAGTTGTGCCTCTCTAGTTAGGTGTTTTCTAAACAAAGTCTACCTTCTACTATTGAGAGCAACGACTACCAATCGCAATCTCATGTGAAATAAGATTAAAATGTGAGAAATGACACGGAGGCAGAACAGGAAACAAATCCCTATGGGAAAATAACTGGTAAATGTAATAGTTGTTGCCACACCGATAAAATATTATGAGTTTTATTTTTCAATCCTTATTGTATCCATGCAAGTTTAACGCATAATAGGTGACATTAAAGCACTTTAATTGAATAGTTATTGATGCCAACTTACACCAAAATTCTCCTGCAAATCCGGCATAGCTGCATCATCACTGTCCGCATCCTCTTCGTTGTCACAGACAGTTGTGGCTTGTTTGCCTGCATCTTCGTCCCCGGTCGCCTTTTTCTTTCGACCCCTAGCCATTGGTACTGGTACATGCTGTCCCTACACGGGCGAGACGCAACCTCTACAGCCAATCGGCGGACAATTGGACTTTTAAACAAGAAAGACGATTAACTCACCACATCAGCTACCAGCTTGCGACTGCGACTTAGGAAAGTCCCTGCTGTAAAGGTGGATTCTTTATCTGCAGCACCGATACCACCGACTGCTTGACTGTTGTTAGCGGTGTTGTAGGAGCGAGTAAAGAGACCGTTTTTCATCTTTGCTACCATGCTGGAGATGGGACAGACAGTATGTCGTGATCTACGTCGCTTTCCTGTGACTTCATTAGCGGCTCCAGGAGGAGATCGACTGCATGTTAGGCGGTGGTTAACACAATGACGTTGGAGGGCCTAATATTTGGGAGGTGGTGAATAACGAGTGATTGGTTCTGAGATTATTCACTTGGAAATGATCCACTATACCTCGTCATGAGAATCACCATCAAGACCACGACGACCAGAATTTCGACCTCTCTCGAGTTGAAAATCCATTCCTGTGATTTGTGTTACTACTGATTTGGGAAGGCGTTGACTGTATATATTCTGCAACTCTAGCAATTTAGTTTTCTCCTGTGGAACAAAAAAAGTTGTCTTTTGCTCACAAATCTGTACTTCGTAATGACATGACAAAAACCTTAATTATTCGTACATTTGCACTTTACCGACCTTCGGCACCAAATGTGAAGTCAAAATGCGACAATCCCAAACCTAACTCTTCTCGATTAGCAAAGTAGACCTCAAAACGCCTTTTGAGGCAAATTGACTTCCTCAGCTTTATTGAAAAAATCCTACGTACTCAAACTTCATGCTCATATGTCAATCAACATATTCACATGCTTTCGT